TATATAATAAAATAATACTTATGTACTACACATAAGCTACTTTATATGATATTATTATTATTATTAAATTAATAAATTGTTTACTGTTTGTTCGTGTGTTGAAGTATAATTTTAGACAATATAGTAGGTACCTACATACGACGTAAAATGGCGTGAAAATCGTTGGGCAGAGTTAGCCTTTATCGTGTGTTCCCCAGCTCGACTCATAAAAAAAAAATCATATCACCACGAGTGAGAAAAGTAAAAACAAGAATTACAAATAAAAAAGTGTGGAACTAGTGAAAATATAAAATCTTCCATCGAATAAACGTGTGTAGAGCATAACAATAAAATGTATATAGATTATTAGGGATAAGTGTTCAAAACTAGACTAAAAGAATATGTACACTGTTTTTTTTTTTTTTTATCGTAAGTTAACATTATTTTTAAATATAAATTATTATTATGTATTATTATTGCTCGAGAACAACAAATAAACCGTTATAAGACAAAGTTAAAAATTGGGTTATTACGTATTAGTATAATAATATAAGCCTAATGGTTTATAATATATATATATAGATAGATATATAATATTATATTAACGATTGTTATTATAAATTATTGCGCTTGGTTTTCGACAACAAATATATATAGGCTACAGAGAACATTTTACACATAAATAATATCATATGAATACAAATTTTATCAGTCTAAAGGACGTAAAAAAACAAATATATAATGACGACAAATTAAAAAAATAGTCTCATTTTGGAAAAAAAAAGTTTAAAATAATTAAACGATTAATTGTGTCCAGAAGTGTTATAAATTGTACATACATATAAATATATATATATATATATTTTTGAAAAGGTACCCTAAAGAAAAGCCGAGTAAATCCAAGAACAAAGTTTCACTTAACAACAATATAATAACTTAACGTGACGAAAACAAAAAAATAAAAAGTACATTTAAAAATATATCCTCGTCAGCTGATGCTGCAATCCGGGGATGACCATCAAGMACACCGTTATCAATAGGGGTGCGTGCAGTCGTGTAGACGGGGTGGCGCCCGACGGTTCGTTGCCGTTTATCACTACGTCCGGTCCCGATTTTTCAGTYGTTTTGACTGAAAAAAAAATTAAAACATTAAAACATCGAATAAAACAATTATTGTCATGATGCACCTATCAAAATCATGATGTGTTATTATTGTTATAACGCACGTGTGCATGGCCGTTTAAATATTTAACTATCGCTAATGATTGCATAATAATAATAAATTTTCATATACACCGTGCGATGATAAGCTTTTATCATTTAGTTATTTGTATGTTTGATTACTGAGCCTCACTAAAAAAACTTGTTTGGAAGTCCAAGAGTACCAAATTACAATTTATAATGCAGTATCTATTCTATTTGATAGGTGGAAACACGATTAAATATTAAAATTATTTTATATTGTAAAAATAGAATTTATAGAGATAAACTAACAACAATCATGAAAAATGATTAAATATAATTCACAGTTATAATGGCTGAAATATGATGCTTGATTTGTGATTGCTAAAAATGTTAATTCTTCTGGATATTGTGATTGCCGTTGTAAAATGTATTTTTCAAATCGATTAATTGGAAGATTTTAAGCGTATAAGATGGTGTAATTTCACGATACATATAGTTTGGTGCCAGTTATTTTGAAATGTCTACTATAGCTTTAATTATTTGTTTTTTTGAMAATAAAAGTAGTTATGTATTGATGTACATACGTAATATATAGTGGAAAAAAACGATACTTACATTGTGAATCGTCGGAGTTAGGCGACTGAGTTGTGATCGGATTTTCACCGGAACCGTCACCCGATGATGAGTAGTCTGCGTTGTCGTCGTCGTCGTCCCAGCCGGAGTTACTTCCCCTGCCAGCGCCACTGCCTTCGCCAGACCCTTCAGCCTCGTCGGCCATGAGCGAGTCTGACTGTGGACTCGAACTCAATTGATTCAACACCGTCTGGAAATCGTTAGATA